GAGAGAAACAGGAAGGCTGACGTGGGACCTCCCCGGCAAGCTTAAAACTCTTCTAAGCCCCCCACACCCCTACACACAAATCAAGCTTAATTTTCTCTAAAGTCTGCCCACTGGAACCTCAATTTCTACAGCACCTGGAGCACATTTTAAAAGTGTGCAAACCCATTAGCAGGTCTTCCCTAAAAATACAGGGCCAGATCCATTCTAAGCGGAGCTACAGGCCAGCAACGGGAGCAGGAAATTTTGCCACACAAACAGGGTGGCTGAGCCTTCCCGTCCTTTCCAGAGCGGGGCCTGCATGCTTCCCATTCCCCAAGTCTGTCCACCCCTGATAAGGCCACTCCTGCAAGGCTGTCTGCTGCAAAGGCTGGCCTTATAAAGGAGCAAAAATGCACCGCGCAGTGGAAAAAGTAAGTCCTAACACACCACGCCCCGCACGGTGCCTGTTTTCGTTTTCAACGGAGAGAAACAGAAAAACTCTGTGAAGGCAACGACCAGAAGAAACGGCTTGCTAGGGGACGCGTGGGGGCGACAGAGAATTTTCCTTCTCCCGATGTCCTTACTGGGTTTTCCGAATTACTGCCCGCACCGCGCTGACCATGTGGTAAGAACGCGTGTCTTTTGGGGGTGTCGCTTCTCATCGGGCACCGCACGCAGGAGGGACCCAGACACCCGCAGCATGCGCGGGGACCCACGAAGTCTCTCTGAGCGTTTTCAGTGCTTGAGGTTCTTCCTAACCGTTCCCCCTCCCCCCAGGTCTTAGGCTCCTCTGCCGATTCCAAATTTAGGCCCAGGACGCAGGGCGTGGCCCCGGGGGGCGACTCCAGGGTGGCCCTGGTGGGTGTCACAACCGAGATCCAGACCCCCCCCGAGCTCTGGGGACGGAGTTGGGGAGGGGGGATGCAGGGGTGGGTTGGGGGGTCCGGCAGCTGCAAAGGGTCAGGGACCCGTAGGACAGTCACCAGGGCTGGGGGGACGATCGAGGTCCCTCCACCCCGAAGAGTTTAAACTCTGAAAACAAACGCTGACATTTCGCCTCTGACATGGGTCCAACCCCGTCCGAAGAAAGTTGGAAGAGACAATACGGCCGCCTCACGGGGGGCTGCTGTACGG